GCTGGGGCTGGGGCTGGGGCCCTCCTGTTTCCCCCGGGATGAGGAGGAACAGGCGCGCTCGAGGCCGAGCGGCCCCCGGCGGCTCCGCTGCCCCCGTGTCCCCAGGGCCATCTCGCCGAACGGGCCTGTGGGCCCTGCCGGGGCTTTGGGGGGAAGGCTGGTGGCTGGTATCGGTCATCTCGGGAATGAAAGGGGGAAAGCGGCCTCGGGAGTGGAAGGGCAAGTTCAGGTTTTAAAGTTCAGCAGCTTGTTAGTGCTTGGGAGTTCAAGTGTGTGGTAGGAAATACATAGCCCTTTTTGTTTTTCCCTTGTCTTCGTGTGTCATTTTGGGTTTGTCAAGGATGAGAAGAAGAGAATTCAGAACCCACTCTTCCAGAATCTGTATAAACCAAATTGCCATGCCGGCAATGCTGAGGGATTCTGGATCCTCCTCTTAGAAGGAGGGCAGCCCAGGATGAATGCATGCTTATGCAATAGAGCAGCCAGACTGTTGTGCTTAAAACACCGAGTGAGTGTTGGGAACACACACTTTAGCTGTCAGAGTGAGGTTTTTCCAAATGACTTGTTCTGATGCACACTTGGCATTGAATGGGAAAAAAGACAGCCCAGGGACCGAGTCCATCAGCTTAGCTTTTTGAAAGAGGCGTTAGGTACATAGAGTGTATGAAATTTGTTATTGTCTTTCAGCACCTGCTTTGTGGTTGAGAGTTTAATTTTCAGGGATAGACTAGAGATGCTTTATTGGCAAACACATTTGCATGAAGGAAATTGCATAACACTACCACTTACTCTCTTTAAGTACAAAATTAATTAATTTCCTAGAGACTAGGCTAAATTAAATTGACTTAGGTATTCTACTTAATGTAACGGACCCTAAATGACTAGGCTAAATTAAATTGACTTAGGTATTCTACTTAATGTAACGGACCCTAAATCTAGATCTATTTTCTTTTCTTGTTTATCTTGTAGGACCCAGATGACTTTGGGATGAGAGGGACACTGCTGCCACAGGCAGTTCACAAAAAAGAATAGACACTTTTTAAAATTAAACACTTGGACCTTTTCCTTCTAAAGCAAGGGACTGAACTTCATGGATTGTAGCACGAGAATTCAACTTCATTCTTTAAATTTCTAAGCTGCACTCTGGCAGTGGATGCCACAAAGACAGCAAGGCTGTCAGTCTACTTAGTGAAATATTTTTTAGTCCCCATTTTGAGTCAGAAAAAAAATAGTAACATACTCTGAGAAGGTGAATTGACTACTACACAAAGGGTAAAAGTTTGATTGAAGTATGAAATGATGAATTTTTTTTTAATAAATCCTCACCAAATGTTTGCTAATCTTTCTGCTGACTGGTTGTTCTAAGTCAATTGTTTCCTCCAAATGCATATCTGCTTCGTTCTTATGTTAGATTAGTTTTGTACTCCTACAAACACGGAGTATAATTTGAAATAGTATAGAACAGAACTGGTCTGGATTCTTCCTTAATCTGAGTTTCCTCTAGGTTTTGGAAATTTGTGCTTTTTATTGCTACCATAGCATGAGGCATTTCCAGGACCTTCCCTAGAGTATTTCTGTGCAGGGCCAGATGGGTAAATATATTTCCTGATGAGATTTGTGGACTGCTGAGATGTAGACAGCTTTAATTTTGGTGAAAAAGAAAGTGTACAGTTAATCATGGCTTTGCATTCTAAGAAGCATCTCAGACCATGACAGAAGTGTTTTCTGTATTTTTCCTTAAACTACAAAATTTTAGTTGCTGAATTTACCAACAATAAAAATTCTATACCTATTTCTGAAACAGGCTAGATCCTATTCTGATGTAATGCAGATGGTTTCTTCCCGTATGCCTCAGTGCCTGGAGATTTGCTGTTATTAGGCTGCCACAGGGGCATTTGGAAGGCTGTTTAAGGCATGTTTTGAAAGCAGGCAGCGTGAATTACAATGCAGTAAGCAGGATGCACAAGTATCCCCACTGAAGGTATTTACAGAAAGTTACATGCACCATCACAGAGAAGTAATGTTGCAAAGAGGGGGAAGTGCTCTCCTCAATATTTTTCTCAGCACGAGGATGTCCTCTTTCCAAGTGATGTCTGGAAAATAAGTATTTGGAGAGTAGAATTTCCCCAACCTTCTCTTCATTCTGGTGGTAGAATAGTGATAATAGGGTCACCAGAGGCTGAACTTTTGAGGCTAAAATACCTGAATGAGCCCTCTTTTTTTACAGATTCACTGCAGCTATGTGGCTTTTGCAGGTAGATTTGAAACAGAACTAGAAGGCCAGTAAAGAATACTTCTTAGAAAATCAGTGAGCACAGCTAGTATTTATTATATTATATGTTTATATATATTTTAAGACCTTCCAAAATACTTTGCAAAAAAATATAGCTTCCTGTAAGGCCTTCAAATGGTAATATTTCTCTTTATCATTCTCCTAGTCCATGATAACTGCTTATTTAATACTTTTCTGAATTTTTTTTCAAACCTTCCTTAGCCTAGACCTGCCCAGGCAGTGTGAAGTTCCTCATGTGACCTGCTGGCTGATTTTGAATATCCATTCACCTCTGAGCTGGTTGAGGCTGCTCTCTGCCTTGCTGGATCAGACTCTTGGCTCATCATTCCAAACTGCCAAGGTCTTTCATAACCTCTGATCTTTCATAACCCCAAACGCTAGCCAGTTCCTCTCACATGCCTTTCGTAACCTACACACACGCCACGTGTTTAATCTCGTCCACTTGGAATAGGCCCACCCTGATGAACCTGAAATACAAGTGTTTCTTGGGAGCTTTGTCTGCCTCAATCCTCCTGAGCCCCAGCCAGATATGCGAGGATGTCAGACTTCCTTCCCTGAAACAATGAATGCTCAGAGGAGGGGAAAACCTGTTCTCTCTGACCTCAGAGGAGAAAAGGGAGCCAAGTCATGGATTTCCTTCTCTCCTGGGGTGTGAAGCCCTAATTGACTGAGGTGTGGTTCAGCTGGGGGTGGCAGTCTCCTTCCCTTCCGGCACTAAGCCGCTGCACAGCGTCCATGGCGCGGCCGCACAGGGGTCCCCACTGTGGCCTGCTCGGAGCAAAAGCCAGGGTCACTCACTGGGGAAGCTGCTGCAGCTGGAATTGGTTTAATTCTGCCTCAGCAGATAGCTTGCCATTCTCTACTCCGACAGTAACCGCAGGCTGCAGTGATGCAATAAAATAGGTGCAGTTTTGCAGAGAGAGGGGGACCTCTCTGTAGCTACCCAGCTGTCGATGTGGAATCCTCAGATGCCTTCCAGTATGGATCTTTGTCACTTCATGGGTTTGATGGATGATCTCCTAACAGGGAATAAAATGGGAGGACAAGTGTATAACACTTTTAATAAAAACAGAGGGGCAAGAAAAAAAAAGTAAGAAATCTTTTGCAATTATTAGCCTGAGTGTGAAGGAGTGTTCCCTCAGTGTGACAGCCAGAGGCTTGCTGCACTGTTATTAAAGTGCACTTCAGTGGGAATCCATGCAGATGGCTTTTTTACCCAGCATAGGATTATATTGGATTAGTCATATAAAATTGTTGTTTACCATCTCTAGTCCCTTTCCCCAGAGCTTTTATCAGGAATCTCACAAAGCATGTAGTTTGAGCCTGCCTTTCAGAGGTAGCCCAGATGAGCAGCTTTTTGCTTGTGTAAACTGCTACAATGTTGTAGTTTAATGCAATCCTCATGTTGCAATGGGAGATTTTACACCTGATAAAAGAGGCTGTTTGGCCCAGATTTTCCTTTTGCCTACAAGAAGGGAAGTTAGATCGTAAGGAGATATTCTTTATTATTGCTGGACTTCCCAGAAGAGCTGTGCTGATCCCATTTTTGCTCCATCAGAGACAATCAAGCACTGGCACTGTTCTTCATAATTCTTGCTAATCAGTCATTTATGGCATA